AATACGTGATACGTAAAAACACGAACGCAGTGTAATCATTGATTGGACAATAGCCAATGAAAGCCCTCTGGTGAGCTATCTATAAGGGTGTTGCAATATCCTGCTGATTAGTAGAAGTTTTAATTTGTTTATTTTAGATATGAGAGCTGATCTTCAAATATTTAGAATCTTTACAAAAAACATTTGTGAAACTTTGAACTTGTGTATATAATTACAAAGAAAGCCGTGGAGCTCTTTACAACAACAAGAAAGATTGACAGTAGTTAAGTTATGATTTAGATAATAAATGTTTTACTCTTATGAATGATTATCAAAGTCATGTCAATAAACAAATATATTGGTATAGAAACTTGCAAATGAAAGATACTGAAATTCTCCATTTTATCATCACCAAAATTCTCCATTTTCTCATCACCGAAATCCTCCATTTTATCATCACCAAAATTCTCCGTTTTATCAACATCAAAATCCTCCATTTTATCAACACCAAAATTTTCCGTTTTATCAACATCAAAATCCTCCATTTTCTCATCACCAAAATTCTCCGTTTTATCAACATCAAAATCCTCCATTTTCTCATCACCAAAATTCTCCGTTTTATCAACATCAAAATCCTCCATTTTATCATCACCAAAATCCTCCATAATATCAACACCAAAATCCTGTTTTATCAACACCAAAATCCTGTTTTATCACATCTGACATAAAGCAGAACATGTTTATTGTTTAATATAACAGACAAGTAGTCACTCTTATTGTATTGCACAATAAAAAGAGTTTAGAAGAACTATTATTGCTGAAAACATGACTAGAATGTTAATGTTGCTCTTTAATCAACACCACACCAGTATCCATTTAGACAGAGTTTAACTACTGATAAGAGAACCATTACAACACGCTGTAGAAATATTTATACTGAATTACAATACATCAATGAACAGGCCACTTTGCTTTATGAAATTAATCTTTATTTTTTTCCCCTTCTCCCTAAATATAGATGTTATTCCTGTAGTCCTTGTTTTCACATATATAAGTCCTCACTGCTTTCTGATAGATAAATCTCTATATACTTCGGCAGTTCTATTTTTCCGTTTTGCTTCTTTATGTTATATGAAAATTTGTTAAAATTTTACCCCAATTAACAATACCTAGTAGTACAATCAGAAAGATCAGTCAGTCATTTCAGTGAAATGTGTACAATAATAGTACATATTAGTCTCGTGAAAAATGCCCATGTTGTAACTCCCTGAGGTAAACTGACACTTGCCTGTAATATTACACAACTATAGTATTATCAGGATTTGTTACTACAATTAAATGAATCGGTTTTAAAACTTTGGTTTTCATTGTGATTACATCAGCTTTATCATCCAACCATTCATGCATGCTTTTGTTTTGTTTCATTTGTATTTACATTTTATTGCAGGAGACAAGTGATCTAATGGAAATAGTATTTGTGATATATTTCAATAATCATGACCACCATGTAATTCTGAAACTGCCTGGATCCGGCTTCCTATGTAGTCTAAGACATGATTTACCACAAAGAAAAAAAGGGACCAGATATAAAAAGGACTTGTTTATCTGGTAAATCCCAAAATAAAGGTGCCCTGACACACAAGGTACAAGATGGTAAATGATTAGATAGGAAGCCTGATCCCAATAGTTCCTGAATCACATCATTTTCACTTTAGAAATGTTCAATCTTTAACAATATAAAGTAAAACTTAATTATCTGTATGCATCAACGGTAGTAATAGTTTACAAATGAGACATAAATGTTTTTACAGCTGTCTTTAATCAAAGCATGGACAATTTCCTTCATTTCCATCAAATTCAAATGAAAAAAAAAAAATGTTTTCCATTGGTACCTTAAACTAAAACTGAATCCATGCAAACCTGCTGGTTTATAAATAAAACAAAGAGAAATAAAAAACATTTACATACAGAAGAAATTATGTGCTGTCCTTCATCCCAGTTCTGGGTTGAGCATGGACAAACCAAAGTACATGACTTTCATATGAGGTAAGGTCAGTATAAAAAAACAGTTTGAACACTACAAAACATTTCATAAAACCAAAGAATTTTGGTGAGACCTATGTTGCAGCACATTAATGTATATGGAGTCAAAATCAAAGTTTAACTTAAACTTCATGACAGATTTTGGCACAAAAACAATTACTTTTGAAACATGAAAATTTGACAAAATTTTACCATTTTTCCCCAAGAATTTATTTCCAATGCCACTTTTACTGGCCAATAAAAACTTGATACATTTACAGAAAAATCCTCATCTTTACATCATTATATAAACAAAGCAACTGATCTAAACTGGAAGTTTTAACAAAGTATGGATATCGTCAGACATGTTGGCAAACAACACGCTACCAGCCATTTTATAGTAGGTTAAAAACATAAGGATTTTGTATCTAGTACAGAAAGAAATGCTCTTTGTATATAGTCAATGGAGTTCAAACAGGTAGACTTTTCATTTACAAAATAAAATATCATTAGAAATTGATTGTTTGATGATCATACTGTACATGTACCAGTATGGAAAAATTTCTAAACAATTTTCCTTGTTATACTGACCGATATTGTATCATTGCTATCTTACCATCAGAAAACATGCAGACATTCACTTTCGGGATATACTATAAAACATTTATACATCAACCAGACTCTCAGCAGTAACACCAACAATTAAATTTATAATAGACTAAGCACTTATTTATTACATAAAAGACTAGAGGCACTGGAAACATTGATAAATTCACACAAAAACAACATGAGCATTTGTAAGATCACACAACATCCCTTTCAATATATATAAACAATCCTGTTTCATATCATATCCCTCTCAATATACTAACAATTGCAATTCCGTCTACCTCCTTCTCAACATTTAAACAATCCTATTTCCCACAACATCTAATTCATTCTACAAACAATCCTGTTTTATACCACATCTCTCATTATATAAACAATCATACTTCACACTGTTTAATATGTAATGTACAAGCAATCCCAAAGGGATCTTGGCACTAACCATTGTTTGATTTTTATTTGTTCTTTAAAAGTAGGGGGGCCTTTTCCTGTCTTTTCTCTTCTTTCATCTTCTTTGCTCTTAATTATGTGAAATTTGAGAATTCTTCTTTAGAGTCAACAATAATAATCTTCAACTGTCCGTTGAAAGATAGCCACCGAGCAGCCATTTTGTTTTTCTGATCGAACTTAAAAATGAAAAGTGCACAGCTAGGGATGAAGAGGAACCTACAAACCAAAATTTAAGAAAGATTCAGCCAGTCCTTTTCAAGAAATAGCGATAACAAGAATTGTTGTAAATGGACACCAAACAATGGACCATGGACCACCGATATGTAGGGCGACTTGAACAGACCAATATCTGATAAAACATCCTTTATTACAACACATCCTTCTACACATATACTGTGGTAAACAATCTTGTATTTCACAAAACCAATATCAAAACCTGTATTTCTAATACATAATAAACTTTTTGAAATCCTAATTTTATACATAATGCCATAATCAAATCAAAATCTTTCTCCTTAATACCATCAGCTGATCATGATGGTCAGGTGGTGCTGCAGTAACGTCTTTCACCTTGCCGTCTACAGTTCCTGGAACGTACGTGAAAAAGGTATGGGGTCACCTGCCCGATCATGTGTGTTTTTCCCGGGCACTCTAGTTTCCTCCCACTGTAAGACCCCCGATGCTTCCATCCGTTCCAACAAGAGTGATTGATATAAGCTGATAGCTTGTTTCACAATTGTTGTTAAATAAAGATTATGTAAAAAATATGCATATCTCTTTATACCAGTGACTAAAGTTTTTTAATATGTTGAGTTTTGTGGTTCAAGTGCTTGTGACAATCTGATACAAACAGATATAATTCATAAAAACTACACTGTTATAGTTTGTTGTCATAGCTTGTCTGACATTTTCTAAAACAAATAACATATAAATACAAATTGTTCTAAAAAAGAGCCTGTGGTTTTGAAAGTATAATACTTTAAATTAGTACACTAATAAAATAGAGCTACCTGTGAAAAAAGCTTTTTGTAGCAGCTATGATAATGTTACATGACTTAAGGTCCAAACAGGACATGGCTTGATTTATAGTTGCAAAAGATTTTTCCAAAAAAAACTTAATCTAATTATCATGTGATAAGAATATTCACATGAAAGTAAAATTGACTTCATCAAGGACCATACAAAAATGTTGTGCAGTGCAGAACAATAAATTTGGTATCAAACATAGCCAAAAATTGCAGTAATGAATATATAAAAATTCATTTAAATAAAAATTCCTCAAAAGTCTTTTTTCAAGGTTAAGAAGGAGTAAAATAGATCTTCACAGCACCAACTGTAGCGCTGCTGAACACTTTTAGGAATGATAAGCTTTTTAGTATTATGCTGTAAATAAACCTAATTTAGCATAATCAAATTTTAGCAATTATCAGTTTTTGGCATTCCCAATAATTGCCACATAAACAACCTAGAGAGAAAATGGTTACTTTACTTTGTTATAGACTATAATTAACTATGTATGTTTCAGTAAAAAGATAATACTAACAAATCTCTTAATTTCCACACCTAGTTTGCTGTGTAAGTTCATAATAGGTCAGTTATTTTTAGACCAGTATCTTTTCAGATAATGTTTTAAAATTGTCAATACTTTTCCATCTGAAATAATCAAAAGTGTGTCAGAATTCCCCTTCAGTGATGTATATCAAATACATGAAATGATGCTTAAAAGATTAATATCAAGCTTATTTATGATCATGGTAATAGAAGTACAATAAGCATTTGTTGTACCCAACTACTGTTGAGACCTGGAATTCAAGCTTTTACCTGACCCAACCAATTAAAGCAGACAAGCAGTTAAATATATTTTAGCTTTCAGAAAGCATAGAACACATTTGGGAATATTGCAAGCTGTAAGACAATTATCAGACTATCAGTTTAATGGTCTCTCAGGTTGGTCAGCTCATTCCGTGTAAAAACATGTAAACTCAACTCTGTGGAGCGGACTGCTACTGGTAACGGACAAACATAACACATGTAATATCACAGTCTTGTTGCTAAGTAACCAGGATCACAGGGCTCCTGTGTCAGCCATCTTTGTCTGGCTCTCTATTTTAGATCACAATAGAGTTTAGTGTTGGTCATGACTTCGCTTTCAGGAAGAATGACTGCAAAGAGAAAAGATAATCCAATTACCATTCTAATGTAAAAAACATACTTTATCATTATGAACCAGGCTCAGGCATTTCTGGAGTTTAGTGAATTGCATTCATATACTACATTACAAAATCCTTCCTAAATTAGTCCTTGGCATTTCATAATGAGGCAAGGATAATTTGTAAAGTGATTAGATGGAAGTTTATAGATAATGTTTGATGGTGCATGTACAAAGTATTTCTAAAGAATTACCTTCCTATAAAATAATTCCCAATGAAGACTGCAAGACTATGGTTTCTTACCTTAAAAAATGCCCTAAATAATTTGCTTTCTGACTGTAATGCTTGACAAAACTCCTGTGAAAGAAAAAAATGACAATACATTAAAATGTGAAATTATTTTTAGTCTTAACAGCCTGTCACCACATAAAAGGTCATTAGGGCCATCAACCAGTATATGACACAGCGATCTAAAAGGAAATAAAACAAACTAAAAGGTACAAGACAAATGCTAAAAATCTCTTATAGTTACATGTTACAAAAGATCAAAATGGTTAATTATATCCAATAAGACAGACCAGTATCTTTCAGAAAACCTAGAATTTTATTAATCTTAAAAGTTTCAAACAGGGTCTTTAGATTTGAAACATTATGATAAAAATTTTCTTCGAGTGGACAGAAGGTCAATGCAGTCCAATAAAAAAGTTTAACTGTAAATGGCTCATCTTATGCTAAACGCTGAGGATGATCTTTGCCTTCCAGCAGATATGAATGTGTAAGGGATGTATTGCCCATCCGAAGACGGACAAGGACAACTCTGTCTCGGTAAAAAACACATTAAAAAGTGGTACGATAATGTGGGCCTGTATATTTATTGGACAAATCGTTATATCCCGATTACTAACATAAAATTTCACATAGATATATATCCAGACAAGCCGAATACTGCAGGCCGTAAGTGATGGATTAAATTTCTGTGGTTTTAAGCAAATAGTAAGTTTTTTCACCGAAATCCTAGAATGGACCACTATAAAAGTTGCTTGAAATTGAAAAATGAAGAATGTAACTATTTGGAAAGAGTGGACTGTCTTTTTTCAAAAAATCATTTGAAGAGCTGTTGTCATACCTGTGCCTGCTCTGGCGACATCTGAAACTTTGGTAAATACTCTCGTTGTAAATAAGTGATACATTCCTCTCCCTAAAAACACAAAAATATGCCATGAATGTTACAGATGTCCTAATTTTTCCTGTAACATAAGCACTGCAACATTACTTATCTACACCTTATTCATGATGAAAACTTTCAAAACCTGAGAATTTACTTTTGAAAAGGCTGGCCTTACTGGATATTATAGTTTACAGGTTGTGAAACTAAAGTGAAACACGTTCCAAGTATTGTTGTATATTAGTAGACTATGGAAACTGAATTGCTATTGTTTCTCCTCAATACATAAAAGGTTCAATATTATTCATATCGGTCAGTAGCTTTTCATATAAATTGGCACCATTTAAACAAATCTTATAAAGGATGAAAACCAGTATTTACACACAGTGGTTCCATAGACTATCTATACAGGATGTGACAATGTACAGTTTATCTTACTGTATTGCTATACATACCCTCTTTTCTAAAATGGATTTGAGACAAAGTGCACATTCACCAAGAGCCTGTAAAAGGAAAATCAGTCAATAAATATAAAATTTTCAGGTTTATACAATGTGTTTAATTTTCAACTGGACAGGCAGGAGTCTACACATAAATTTAACGTTGGTCTGCTGGGTTTATTGCCCTGCCAACAGTAAAAGTCATTTTGAGGTGGGGTCTCAAAGTATTGGTGGTTACCTCAATGAACAACATACAGGAGGCTTGTTACATACCACCAAAAGCAATCAAGGTCTTGCTAAAGGCCACAACTGTGTCAGTACAGACAAGTGTGTTTTTCAACTTCTTGATAAACACAAACTGACATAGATACGGAGTGTTGAACTGTGTCAGTACAGACAAGTTTGTTTCTCAACTTCCTGATAAACACAAACTGCCACAGATACGGAGTGCTGAACCATGTACCTCAGATCTTCACCTAGGGGTACTTTGGCCAACACTCTAACTTTCAAAGCTCCTTACATGTAACGTTGTACAATCCCTGCAGAGTGTTGTTGTATTAGAGCAAGAAAGTAAAATGTTAATTTTTTATGTCAAAATATCAATTACTTTTGCTTAATAAAGAACTTACCAGGGATGTCTGTCCATCATTGAGGTCAAAGGTCGGCTTGAGTGGTGCCATGAAACATGCGGGTACAATACTGTCATAGATAAACTCGAGGAATCCTGGGATATTGGACTCCTGGCCTCCTACAATAAACACAGTAGATAATAACACCTGTCAGAGTGTGATCACACTACAGAGGGAGGGAGGGGGTGTAGTGATGTGTGTGTTTGTTATTGAGGTTGTGATGTGGGGGTGGGGTTATGAATTGGGTACGGACTAATGAGGGGAGTATGAAAGGAGTATGTCGATTTATGGGTGTAACTAAGGGGGTATAATTTGGCTATGTAGGGGGTATAGGAAGGGGTACAGAAATGTGTGTTTATTATGGATGTTGTGAAGAGGGTTTATGAGTTTTAGAAGTGGCTTGAGGAGATGGTTATGAAGATTGGTACATACATAAAACAATGTGATGAAAGAAATACAAATTTATCTTTTTCAGGAGTCCAGAAAGTAAAAATTTAATTAATCTGGATGTATCATTTCATCATGTACCACATCTTATGAAAGTGTTCTATTTACATTCATTTTAAATTTTCTTTGTTAATTTCATCTGCACTGTGCAATTTGATGTAAACTACAAATACTGTTCTTAACTCTATAACATAATGAGTTATATATTTCAGAACACTTACCCCAGCATTCCACTAACTTCTTCAATATGGTGAAACACATTTTCTGACTCTGAAATTTGTACAGAAAATGTTAACATAGTGCTATGAACACAAATACATGGTATTTGTTATTACCATGTTGCTTTACGAAATAACTTTTCCTTTTCTATTCTTACTTCACAAAAGATAGCAAATATACCCAGACACTGTAATTTCAACTAAATACATACAAAAAATGCTGTAGATAGTGTTTGAGAACAAGCTGGTTGGTTACAGACAGTTTAGTTAAGTTCATTGTTGCTTTATGTTCTATTAACAGCCTGGGTCATTTAAGGTTGTGCCAAGTTCGGGTGAAGGAAAAAAGCCAGAGTTTTTGGAGAAAGACCATTGCCCTGCTGCCAGTATCTGGTGACTGCCCGAACCCCCTGACCTACAGGTGGAGGGCAATTGACAAAGATGTCAGACACCTTAACCACTTAGCCAATGTGGCCCCAATTATAGACAGAAATTCAAAATTTGTATTAAGACATGAAAGTAAGATTTTTTTTCTAATAAGTCTAAAGATATTTTCATGAATCATAACAATATAACCCTAAAAAGCATACATAATTCTCACAGTGTTTATTCTCAGTCGATGTTAGGATTGTGGAATTTTATTGTGATCCTCACACTTTAATTCCAACATTGAGTGTGGCATTCCAATTAAGAGAATATGATTTCACTAACCTGTGGGTCAGGCAGATCAACAGCTCCCTGTACAATCGTCACCAATACATCATGTAAATTCTGCATATCTGAAAACATTCAAAAAACTTTTTGAACAATCCAATTTTTTCAAGATCTCCCTCCCTGAATCAGTTTAGATCTAGTTTTATCCACATTTCCATTAAAACAAAAAATCCTCACCTTGATTTCCTAGCACATCAACACTATTGTTTGATATTAAGGTTGACAAAAACAGAAAATAACTGCGGCGTAACATCTTCCTCTCTTCAGCAGTTTCTTGATCGAGAGCATCTGCAGGTGTAGTAAGTGCATGGTAGATTGCCTGCACCAGAGGCATAAACACTTTCTGTAGGAATGGGCCAATGTCTCTCTGCAAAAGTCAGAGTAGTATCAAATGTCATTTGCAGTAACTTCAACACCTAATGATATAGTTATCATGCAGATCTGGATTTACAGCATGATAACTTTTAGTAACGAAGAAATGTGACTTAACATAATGTCCAACCAAGGTGTGGTATAGAGGGAAAAATGATGACTTTTAGTAACGAAGAAATGTGACCTAACATAATGTCCAACCAAGGTGTGGTATAAAGGGATAAATGATGACTTTTAGTAACGAAGAAATGTGACCTAACTTAATGTCCAACCAAGGTGTGGTATAGAGGGAAAAATGATGACTTTTAGTAACGAAGAAATGTGACCTAACATAATGTCCAACCAAGGTGTGGTATAAAGGGATAAATGATGACTTTTAGTAACAACTAATGTCCAACCAAGGTGTGGAGGATAAATGTAGAAAAGTACAAACCATCAATATTCTCTATCATTTTAGGCTGGAAAATATAAAAAGAGATGGCAGTATAGAGGCACAGCTGAACGGGAAAAACAAACAATTAATACTTTCTATACTTTTAGGCAGGGGCAAGATAAGCAGTCAGATCATAGACAGGTAGATGAACAAGTTAAATATTTTTTTTCTTTTTGGAAATTTTTTTCCACTTAAGAGATCTTTGTGTCAGTATAGCAATTTCGTAGTTATGCTTACCTTAAATTTCATGATCAGCTGGTTCATGAGGGGAATGAAATCATGCAATTCTTTAGCATCAGGTTTCTTCAGTAGGTTTTCCATGACAATAGGTACGAAAGGCAAAATTTCCTTCTCCATGCAGACAACCATACGATGGAGGTACTGGCGAACCCCGGTCTGAATCTGCTGGCGATGAGTGGGTGCGTTCAGGGCCTGCAGAAAGATGCGGAGCAAGTCGGTGAAAGTATCAACACATCCACACTGCTGCATTGTCTGAGAGTTGGAAAAGCCTTTGCTGACACGACTGAAATCAAAAGTATTGATAGTAGGGATAGATATATTGGTGATAACAGTATTTCATATGCATATACATCACAGAAATTTATCATCTGAATCTCAAATAAATCAGATATATATATTTTTTCTTTCTTTTGGATTGTGAGAAGCTTGATTTGAGAAATCTACAAAAACTGAAGGTCTGAGGAGTTACTAATAAGAAATTATAGCCTGTTTCATAATTGATGTAAATCAACTCCTCTGAATAAATCACTAAGCTTTCTCTGCCACTTCTATAGCCTGTTTCATAATTGATGTAAATCAGCTACTCTGAATAAATCACTTAGCTTGCTCTGCCACTTCTATAGCCTGTTTCATAACTGATGTAAATCAGCTACTCTGAATAAATCACTTAGCATGCTCTGCCACTTCTATAGCCTGTTTCATAACTGATGTAAATCAGCTACTCTGAATAAATCACTTAGCATGCTCTGCCACTTCTATAGCCTGTTTCATAACTGATGTAAATCAGCTACTCTGAATAAATCACTAAGCATGCTCTGCCACTTCTATAGCCTGTTTCATAACTGATGTAAATCAGCTACTCTGAATAAATCACTTAGCCTGCTCTGCCACTTCTATAGCCTGTTTCATAATTGGTGTAAATCAACTACTCTGAATAAATCACTTAGCATGCTCTGCCACTTCTATAGTCTTTTTGCCTCTTACCTAGCTAGAGCTGTTGACATATTGATGCTGTGAGCATATGCCACTTTTCTACGCTCATCTGTTTCCGCTGTAAATTTTGCCAGTAAACCTTCAAATTTGGTGGCAATTGGTGAGAGAAGTTGCTTCATAAGCACCTGCTTTTTCTGAAAATACATTTCAAGTAATCCTTACTGTATCAAACAAATCTGGCAAACATTGATTTACTGTAAGTATACTTAATTTATTACAATCAAATACTAGTACATTATAACACATTAGTTTGATGATGGATTACCATACCAGTAATAATGTTATTCATAAACAATAAACAGACATTTAGCGAATCACATTTCTCTTTTCTTATTTTTGTTTTTTCAAGTTTTTTAACATTTGTATAAAAAACACTACAAAAACCTTACATGGTACATTACACTGACATGTGAACAAGTTCAATATTCCCAGGTAATTATATAGCATGTATTTCAAAACTCCAACAGACACAAGGCGACACATATCCTTTCATCTTTCATCACACACCCTCCCTGTCAAATATACACACATACTCGGACTTCCATACATTATCATACAAATATCAATACTGGTTGCCCCCAGTACATATCAATTTAACACAATGAGAAAGGTACAAGGTAAAGAAACACCCAAGTAATACATGAATTCCTCTGCTGATATGAAATTATTAAAAGGACTGACTTTAGAGGATATTTAAGTGTGATTTTCACAGTGCAAAAGTGGTAACATGTTATTACAACTAAAATATATTAATGGTAGTTTATCAATTCATTTTGATTCCGCTTCTATTTTATTACATATATTTTTGAAAACATTGTTTCTTCTTTTCAAATCTGGAACATTACAATAATTAAACATGACAGTTGATTTGAAATAATTATTTCACAAAGACAAATGAAAGATGAACTTTCTGTGTACATACCTCTGGTGGTAGGGAGCTATTGACGATAAGACTTCCTGCAGTCTCATACAAAAACAGCTGGTCCTCCCCTGACATGAGCTGTTGGTAACCATTGTCAGGAGTGTTGATCACCAGTAGACCCTGAATACGCTTCAGGATGTCCTCCAGGAACGGCTGCATGTGTGACCTTTTAATTAGGAATTAGAATATAAAATAAATATTTGTTCATTTCATTATAATTGATCAAGGACAGTCAAGACCAAAACAAATATCAGCATTGCAAATCAAAACCAGTCTATTTCATTTTCTTTGAACAGAGACAGTTATGTCCATAAAAAGTAAACAAAAAGATGGATTTATTGTTCCGTATTTAATTAGCAATACGGTGGTTTATTACATACAGGACCTCCAGAGTAAACACATTATCATGGGTTTTTAACAGAACCCCAGATGGGGCAAGACATTATCTCTTACTCAAAATCAGAGGATAGGCTTATTACAACACATTACCTCTAGCTAAAGTCAAAGGATGGGCTTATTACAACACATTACCTCTGACTAAAGGTCAAAGGGTGGGCTTATTACAACACATTACCTCTGACTCAAAGTCAGAGGGTGGGCTTTTCAAAACACATTCTCTGACTCAAAGTCAGGGCTGGGATTATTACAAGACTTCAGGGGACAAAACATTATCTCTGACTCAAAGTCAATGGATATGCTTATTTCAATATACTTGGTGATTTGATTGATATGGATAAGAACAGGATTATTAAATGGCATGAGCTTATTGTCAGACTACAGTACAATGGTATTGATTTTTCAGAGTTTTCTTGTTTTGACAAGCCCTAAAATTTTACCTCAGAGATTTGACAAATCTGGAGAAGAGATATGACGTGCGACTCCTCACTTGTGAAGATGGGTGGCGAAATCCTCGCTCATCAGTAAAGGCCATCTAACAAAAACAAAAATAGACATGTGTAAGCAGATCAGGTAAGTAACATTACCCGGATAACAAGCCATATCTACAGCGTAAAATGTCCCAAGTTACATAGACACATGTGTTGTAACACCATTGTCTAAGACAAATGATTAATATTACCCTAACCATCAGTAGTGAGAACCATACAAATTGAGTTAAAATTTTGGTAGACTAGACACATGTGTTGTAACACCATTGTCTAAGACAAATGATTAATATTACCCTAACCATCAGTAGTGAGAACCATATGTGTTGTAACACCATTGTCTAAGACAAATGATTAATATTACCCTAACCATCAGTAGTGAGAACCATACAAATTGAGTTAAAATTTTGGGAGGCGATTTTAGAATTTTAGTCAAGACATTAAAGTTATTTCATCTTTGAGCAAATTCCATGTCAATAAAAGTTTGAAGAATTTCTATGTAATGTCATGATACAAATTAGCATGAAGACAGGATAAAACAAGTACAGACAAAATAACAAAAAAATAGATGCTTGCAGTAAAGTACAGAGTATAAAGAAGTTGTTTGACAGGTCAAAACTTTACACAGTAACATTTTCTATAGAAAATTCCTGTAGACTTACCACAATGTCTGGAATGTGCTGAGGTTCACTGTTAAAGAATTTGTCATAACGCACAACTGTCTCAAAAAACTGGAGAACAACAGCTGTGTGTCCCTGACAGCTAACTCGACTTGTAACCAACTGAAACAAACATAAAAGTAATGTTACAATTATACATGACATGAAGAACAGAATTCTTGTTTACAATGTACAGATGTCAAGGCCAAATGTGGTATACTTACCAGCCTCATCATCTCCTGTAGGGCTGTCACCTTGTTAGACTCTCCACTGAAATGTTGTCCTTGTGAAGCCTGTAATAAACAAGAGTTTCAGTGAAACTGATGAATGCTCCCTGAAAACAACTTTATAACACACAAAATTTAATCAAAGGGCAATAACTGTGTTTAAGGCCCTGAATTTGGTATACTGCACATTCTCTTATGACCTATGTATATGCCAAGTTCCAGTTATTCCTAAATTATACAAAAGAGAGTTATGGTTCTTATACAATGCACTTCTCATTATCGAGATCTATCTACTTATGAAGTTTCATGCTGATACCTCTCATAGTTATTGTGATATGTTCCAGATAAAATTATGATAAACGAACGGACAAAGCCATGACTATATGCTCCCGGGGAGCATAATTATCACACCACAACCACACTATGTGACAGAAAATGATGGTCAAGCATAAACTTTCTTGTATATAAATCCCTTTGTTAAGTTCTTTTCTTTCGTAACTATTCAATAAGTGATCAAGAAAATGACAGATACAAAGTTCATTCATTACACAAACTGACATGTTGTAATCAAAATCATGCACACAATATGGTATCTGTTAAATTTTCATGCAATTAATTTCTCTGTATTAGATATACAAGCTGATAGGGCCTATGTAGATATACCTCCAATCCTACCATCTGTAAATATGTATTTAATCAGAAAAGAGGATAAGTATCACTTTAGACCCAATGACCTTGACTGATGACCCCCAAACTTTCCCCACTACTGAAGATGCAAACATGAACTAAAGCTATTTGGGAGAGGGAGTATTTAAATGAGATTCTTAAACGTCAATTTTTATTTCAAAGTGGTCAAGAGCGACTCTTAAAACTTGACCCTGCCTTGGTGTAAAACTTTATACTTGATTACTTAGATGTAAATATAAACTAAATCCTGTGAAGGGTTTTGAAGCTTTAAATAAAAAATTTGCCAACATTTTTGCTACAAATGGATATATAGAAATGTCAATTATTCTTCTCCCTCTCCCACCACTATATAAAGTTGGGATATGATAAATTTGTTTTATTTCCAAAACAGATTTCACACATCACATCTAAAGCACACAAATCATTACTTACAGTTCCTATACTTACAGGCAGAGCCTCCCCCAGCATATACAGCAACAAAATGGCAATCTCAATATCACACACATCACGCTTCTCCCAGTGGAGTAGTGTCTGGGTCACACATGTGTGTACAGTCAGCAGAACCAAGTCACTGTCCTATAAATAAATGTTTATCTCAGAGGTAAAATCTCAGGACCAGATAAATATTCTGTTCATTTTTTATTAACACCAAATCAAGATATGTCTATCTCCCAAAAATATCGCAAACATATATATTGTTGCAGTAATCTTATGTTTTTCATGTTGTTTTTTTTATTCTGGTGATTTATCTTTGTCTGCCAAAAAGTGATAATGCACTAAAATTGATTGTGCTAAATTCACTTCACTAACAAAAACCTGGGAATTTCTACGACTCAACAATGAACACAAAAAGTCTTTGCGTAACTCCTTTTGAGGGATTTTTAAAACAATATTCCTGTATTGAGCAATGAGTGCAAGATAAATATATGTTGGATTATATACAGGTACTTCCAAAGCCTAGGAAATCCAGATCTTACAGAACGATACAGGTAAAAATATTGGGTATTTTGGGTCATTTACAGAAAAAATCACAGTGCCAAGTCAGCAAAGATGTATTTCATTCTAACTGTACTCAAACAAATTCCAAATTAATATATCCAATTTGGCATGATGTATACTTACCAATGCAGCTAGATTGGTGAAGGTTGTCTTAAGCTGTTTTCTGTATTCCTGGAACATGGCTTCTTCTTCTCCCTGTTCATGGAGACATAATCATGTATAAGTATCGATCCTTGTGACGCGGTGAGAATAAATCTGATAACTCTTTAAATGTCAAATTAACTACAATTCACATCAATTTAACTTACCTCGTGTTCAAAGTTGTAGGACTCGTCATATTTCATCTTCTTTATCACTGTGTACAACAGACCCTGGTAAGATATATATACATGATCAATCTATTTTGAAGAAGAGATGAATCTCTGTGGTGATAGTATCAAAGGCCTGATGGGTGATCCTATGTTTACAAATTCAGTTACCCACAAATTAAACTCTATTTGTCCTCATACCACCATAATCAATTTTATAATGTTCAAATGTTTTAAAGTTTGATACCTACACATACTCTAAGCTAAGTTTTCTGCTATTTCATCGATACAAATGAGAATTCAATTATCAAACTTGCATTTAAACCCAGAAAACTTATCCTACAGTCACTTGTGATAGACCAGAATGACATGTCACAATGAATCCTACCTTGAATCAATGATCAACTTTGAGTGCATAGAATAGAGAGTATGGAGGGGTAATCTGGTTGACTGCTATATGCTCCCAATATAAATATCAACATGCCTGTAATCAACAATAATGAAAGGTGAATGTGACCAGCAGTCAAACTAGAAATAAACTGCTATACCTCCATGTTCTGTCGCTGTTTTGGACTAATGGGTTTCATCTGTTTGAGAAGAGCTATGTAATCTTGTGAGAACTGTGTCACTCCACTAGAAACATCATCATCTTCATCACCAAGGAATCGAAACATAAGAGGAACTTTGTTCTCCAAGGCTTGCAGAGCCATTTCTGTAGCCTCAGTGTCTCCAGTTTTTGACAGTCTACAGAAAAAATGTAGACATTATGTCAATTAAACAATTATGATTTAAAATTTTATTGCTGGAAATTCATCTTTGTTAAGGATTTTTTCTAAATCAGTTATGACAATGTCAGTATCCGATTGTTGCAAAATATTTGATAAAGGTAGAGTTAAATAACTAAAACTGGGATATGTTTGTGTTGGTCAAGTTAGTCAATTTATAGAAGAAATAAAATTCTTTTTAATATAAAATGTTTAAAAAAAACCCAAAACTTTAAATACATTCAGTTATACAATCAAACACTTATCACTATCTGAAAATCATACCTATTGTTGGATACTGACAAGACATTATGCGATAGTCGCATATAATTGCTTTTATTGACAAAGTTAAAATTGAAGAAATATCATAGAAGACAAATAAGAAATATGTTATTAATCCAAAAATTCCATCCTATACCTTTTTTAATGTCTCTATTTATTGCTATAATAACCAATCTGAACCTACTTTTGCCAGCTGAGAATAAGGTTGACACCAATACCATTGATGAGTTTTGACAATTTGGCCATGAAGTCTCCTTCCTCATCCTGTAAACAAAAGCAGTTAACAGTTCATCTATTTGGTCCCAAGATCTGCTGGGGAATAGTTTTGACTGCTGACTGATATTAAAGGCATAAAACTTTGGGATTAGCAGAAGCAGCCATCCCTGCCCATACTGTCCATTTACAGTGAAAATCATGATCAATAAGACACTTTTATCATAATCAATTGAATGCTTGGATGTGTTTGAATGTTCTACACTAGTTTTTTTTTTACAATTTTCTAGAAATTTTCCCACGAAACAGTCAAAGATGCTTAATTTACATGTACATGGAGAGTAACATTTCAAGATATATCATAAAATAGACCGATAAAATCAGCTGATAATTGAGCAACTAGTGTTGAACAAATGTGTTCCATCCAAACATGTCTGTAAATACTTACCTCTGGTGGAGAGAGAATTCCTTGACTCTCCAAAACACTGGTAAACGACTCCACTAGTTTGGTTTTTGCAACAGAGTCCATGCCCTTGTTGATGATGTCCAGGATACAGTCGCACGCACTCTCTCGAAGCAGAGGTTGGGACATAAAGCGGAGCAGGGCAGCCACAACTTTATCATTGGCGATAAGGTTGATATCTATCCACGAGACATACTTTCCTACCACCTCCAAACACATGCAGCACACCTCTGGGTTGGTACTCTGGTATGTTATCTGTAGAGAGCATGTCAATGTTAAAAAATACACAAATCTTAAACAAAGGTGAGCAATAATGTTATCATATTTACCATGACTGACCATCAAGTATCAGCAATGACGTTACATACCATCACAAGCCTGTCCACTCCTCGACTAAAGTATATAATTAGTTCTATACCTACTAAACAATTATCATTAACCAAGTACCAAGTTAGCACTAACCATTTTCTATGTACCAAGTTAGCACTAACCAGAGACTCTACGTACCAAGTTATCACTAACCAGAGACTCTATGTACCAAGTAACCACTAACCAGAGACTCTACGTACCAAGTAATCACTAACCAGAGACTCTCCGTACCAAGTTATCACTAACCAGAGACTCTACGTACCAAGTAATCACTAACCAGAGACTCTACGTACCAAGTTATCACTAACCAGAGACTCTACGTACCAAGTTATCACTAACCAGAGACTCTCCGTACCAAGTTATCACTAACCAGAGACTCTCCGTACCAAGTTATCACTAACCAGAGACTCTACGTACCAAGTAATCACTAACCAGAGACTCTACGTACCAAGTAAACACTAACCAGAGACTCTCCGTACCAAGTTATCACTAACCAGAGACTCTACGTACCAAGTTATCACTAACCAGAGTTTTTACGTACCAAGTAACCACTAACCAGAGACTCTACGTACCAAGTTATCACTAACCAGAGACTCTACGTACCAAGTAATCACTAACCAGAGACTCTACGTACCAAGTAATCACTAACCAGAGACTCTACGTACCAAGTAATCACTAACCAGAGACTCTACGTACCAAGTTATCACTAACCAGAGACTCTACGTACCAAGTAATCACTAACCAGAGACTCTACGTACCAAGTTAGCACTAACCAGATTTTCTACGTACCAAGTAATCACTAACCAGAGACTCTATGTACCAAGTAACCACTAACCAGAGACTCTACGTACCAAGTTAGCACTAACCAGAGACTCTACGTACCAAGTTATCACTAACCAGAGTTTTTATGTACCAAGTAATCACTAACCAGAGACTCTACGTACCAAGTAATCACTAACCAGAGACTCTACGTACCAAGTAATCACTAACCAGAGACTCTACGTACCAAGTTATCACTAACCAGAGTTTTTATGTACCAAGTAATCACTAACCAGAGACTCTACGTACCAAGTAATCACTAACCAGAGACTCTACGTACCAAGTAATCACTAACCAGAGACTCTACGTACCAAGTAATCACTAACCAGAGACTCTACGTACCAAGTAATCACTAACCAGAGACTCTACGTACCAAGTAATCACTAACCAGAGACTCTATGTACCAAGTAACCACTAACCAGAGTTTCTACAAGTTCCCTGTTAACAAACTGGATTATGGTTAAGACTATATCTAGTATCAAGTGTTCACTAATTGAGGTATACACTGGTGACTAAGTGATACCTACCATGATCTGATACCAAGTGTCCACTAACTGAGGTATACACTGGTCCCTCATTGTGTCTTTGATCAGAGTGTTTCTCTGGATTTCCTGAAAAAAATTGTTTGAACATTATAGTTTTAATCAGTTCTTAACCAAATAAAAAACAAAAATACACTGCATGTTTATTAATACTATGACATACAGCGAGATACAACAGGATAATTCCTTTCTCGTTTTCTGCACTGGTCTTTGTTAACAATATACTTAATAAATGACTACGTAAAACCCTTGAAATTTGAATCATCCTATTTCATAATGTATGACATTCATATCCTTTTATTACATTTCATTTGCTTTCAATACACAATTCACAGAAATTTGAGGATGAAGATTTCAAACGTTTTATACTAAATATCAATAAGTATGTATATGAGTAACTGCCTTGTGCAACATCAGAGTAACTATAGCATTACGTAAACCTGTAATACACTTCAGTTTAAGTCTTAATTTCTCTGAAAGTATATCTTTTTATAATTGAATCCAGATTTTTTATACAAGTAAATCATATAGATTTAACTTTTAAATTGATATTTTTGACTCACCTGGTTGGTGTGGATGATGTCACGATCTACTACCTCACTATCTATAGCAAGAAAGATTCGCAGATAAATGTCTACCAACTGTGGGCTTGGGGTGAGAGCCTGAGACAGGTCAGAGAAAAAACTGGGCCAGCGATGAGGGTAGTCCACGATAAATGCCAGTGATATCACCTGTGCCATCTTATTCCTGATGAAACTCCTGTCACCACTAGTTGATGAACCCTTCAAACAGTACATGTTGAATTAACTCAAATGAATCAAAAACACTTAATATAGGGTCAAACATCTCAACATCAAATTGTATAATTTCATGAATCCTTACAATGATATTTGTCAGAATTATATTTGAAGGATATTAATAGATATAAATAAATTTATTGTTTTAAATACCTGCACTTGTAGATATTGACCAATCATGTTACGGATCATCTGTTGGTCTTCCAGGCTGACATTTGCATATCTTTAACACACAAGAAAATGCTTCAGTTTTCATCATGTATTCACAGATGTGACTGTTTTTTTTTAAATCTTCAACTATTAAAATCATTACTAATGTTACTCTATTCCAAAATATATTACAAAAACAATTTGAAAATACAAGTATTCTGACGACACCTTAGCATTCTATACTTATAATCAAGAACTTATATACTTAAGCAAGATTAATTATTCAGGTATTGCTATTTGTTAACATATCAATGAATTTACGATCCAATAAAATCTATAAGAATTAGACTTAAATGCTTCAAAGACATTATACAAGTTGGGTTTATTCCAGATCAACATACACACCTTTCCTTCAGGAAGTGTTCAACAACTTGTAAGCAGAAGAAGCGTACATGGTCATTACTGAAAAAAGAACAAATAACATGTTCGCTAACAATGAAATCCTTTCATGTAATTAAATACAAGGCACAAAATTTTACCCCTGAAAATTCCACTTGTTAAGATATTCACCAAAATGTACTTTATCGGATCTTTTGTAAACTAAAAATCATCTTCTAATCTTCAATTTATTACAATGAATTAACAAAATGATATTTATTTTCTTCTATTTTTAAGTATTAAATCATAATTACATCTTTTCCATTTCTTTATCAAAGAAACTATGTACTTATTGCAAGTATATCTATAGTTGTATTTTCAAAAGAAGTGATGGTTACAAGTACAAATCAACTGTGATAATATTTCTAATCCATCTTCAGGAACTGACCTACTGTAGTGTGGATTCATAAAAGATTCAGCACAAAGTTTCCAACCATCACCAACAGACTTTAATTGCTCAAAATATTGCAATGCCTGCAAGAAGAAAGAAAGATTATTCAACACAAGACTGGAAATATAAGTATGCTAGTCAGGGTTTTCCATAAGAGCTGGCTGCCGGCCAATTTGACCAGCTACTTTGATCATTTGGCCGCCTACACCAATCCAGTTCCGTAATAATTTTCCGTACTCGACTACACGTACATGGCAGGCCAGCCTCCTACTTTCACTACACAGCCTACTACTGACAAAATTATGGAAAACACTGGCTAGTATCTGAACACAATTCTATCTATATACATGTACAAGACTTCAATTAATTTAAAGTAAAATTTTATAAACTATCTCAAATGATTGAATAGACATAGATCTAGATACCCTGAGTCCATGTAATAACTTTATGAGTTCATGTTTTGTGACAGTCTCCCACTGATTTTCAATGCCAATTTGCTATTTCTTAAACCTTACATTCAAAGTGAATTAAGCACATATCTGCATGGAACTGTTTATAAAAATAAATAGTATTGCACTACATGCAATATCTATCATACTTTGTATATAGATTTTGATGAGAGTACTGATTTTTGTTGAACCCTTTCTTACAATACTTAAAGTTGGCTACTATCTATGAAGGAATCACTTTTTAGTTACATGCAATTATACTATGATTTATCGTCTGCTGACAGAGTGACCCATGCTTTCATTAAGACTTGCATAATCCAAGACACAAACATATTTAAACAAACAGTATTGTCTTGTGTTAAAATTCTTACCCTGGCTTGTGTTTGTGGATCTGCAGCAGGACTCAGGCCCCTAAGGGCTTCCTCATCCATGCTGAAAATGTACTGACACGCCCACTGCCTGTTATTCTCGATGGACCTGACTGTGTAGGTCTGTGAATTATCATACGATTCCCAAGCTGTACATGCTACAAAATTGCAGAAAAAATACAATCAAGAACAGCTTTATATATATACATAACATGGCAACTGAATCAATCTATTAGTTGAGTGCTTTTCTTATTAAATGAAAATGCAGTAAATTTTTACATAAATTTATGACAGACAATATATTCCCAGCTACTACTAATTATATTAAAGCTGTAAACCATTTTGTATGATTTTTTTTTAGATAAGATTGGTTAATGTTTCTTTTTTCCCCTCAAAAGATGACCATTGGGAATGTTAATAATTGGCCAATGACATGACTAGCATTAACATTTATGAATCACCAATGCTGTAGGAAAGTTTTTCTGAAATTGCTTATTATCACTAAAAATTATCGAAATTAAGTATTTTCTTCCATGAAATGTCTGTGTGCAAAAGTGCCACAATATACCAGTGAAACATGTGCATTGGTGAGAATATATCCGCAACCAGTCCATGTATCTACCAAGTATTTTTTGGCTGTGTCAGGATCGATAGTCAGAATTCCTCCTCATATATACAAGCATTCAGCTAATGTTTAGCAAAAATCATGACAGTATGATAACAAAAAATTATGCACAAACCTATGTTTAAGTGTCAATAAATACAGCTAACTGCATACAATATGATTCTCCAAATTTTTCTACCAACAAAACATGTCCTGCTATGTTCAATAAATGATAGCATTTTCACTTCCTTTCCAGTGTGTCTACTTCAGACTTTAAAAGAGATTAGGGTCCACCAGTAACTTCCTTTTAAGTGTGTCTACTTCAGACTTTAAAAGAGATTAGGGTCCACCAGTAACTTCAAATTAGTAAAATGATGTCTAGAGGTTGAAAAAACATGTTTCAATATGACACAAACAATACGTTTTTATTTGTTACCTTTGTGTTGAAATTGTTGTTTACTATTTACTGTTTGCAAAGAATTATAAAAATAAAGATATTGTATGCCAATGAATGTTCAGAAGGTATTACAGGTTGGAGCCAATACTATTTTATAAGGTTACCTTTCCAATCGAAAATATTTATGTTATAGATTTTTTTCAGCTTTGATTGACTATGACCGACTAACTTCAATACTTCTGACGATTTGTTTGCCTCTTTAAGGATAATTATAACTATTTGTATGATGTCCGTAATTTCAGCCAAAAGAGCAAATCCTCTCACCCTAGCTACTATACATTGAAATAATAAACAAGAAATAAAATTCTTTTTATATACATATCATATTTAAATGACTTCAAAGCATCTGTACCCTGTATAAAAGGCTGTATGTATTCCATAAAGAAATGAAGTTCCTTCATAAATATGCTTCATTTTAAACTTGAACAGGACGAATTAGAAAATATAAACAAATGTGCTTCAATCAAAACAAATCGAATTTAACTGCAGAAAATCATGTACACAAACCATTGTAGCTGTATGTCACGGCCATTTTCGGTTTCTCGTGTTGATTCCGTTTATGAATTGTGCCATGGTCTATTGAAAAGTACGTTATGATGAAACTCACCTCAATACCAGTCTATTTAAATCACCAGTCTATTTCAATTTGGCCGGCCACGTTTCGTCATCAGGCAATCGCCATCTTGAATTATGTAGATCTCGTTAACACGATATCTTAATTTTGATTTATTTATTAATTACTAATTTAAATATATCTGGATGGCATTTATTCATTCTTATATTAAAATATTTAGCTAGCATTTCCTACTTCGAGAAACAAAATGTGATTTGAAGAATTTGAAATAGGACGAGATTTCAACGAGATCTTCCTTTTTCCTCGTGTTCCACCATGAAGGCCCGTGGTGATGTACGTAGTCTCCGAATAAAATCGTATTTTATTTTACTTTACATAGATCTCCTTTGGCAATCCAGGCCGTAGCGATCTCAGTTAACTATTCCTCGAAGCTGTGTTCATTAACTCTTTATAATGCTTATCATATCTATGTAAAATTCAGAGCGTTTCTACCCGAAAAGCATGGACATATAAAAAAAATCTTGGAAGAGTTTTTGTGCAATCATACCGGCATGATTTGCTACCTAATTGCACTGAGCAGACGAACACGTTGAAGTTCTTAATAGTCTATAGGACACCTGCTCTCCGTAATTATTATTTTTTATCATGAATCGCGAGTAAATCCGAACCCTAAATCAAATTATTTGAGTAGAGGACCGTGAGACTGGTGTTAAACTTTCTCAAAACCCTACCATCATATTGCTGATGGACATTATGTGTAAAAAGAAAGTAAAAAAAGACCACATTCTGTTCGATGTTAGATTTCTGACATGGTTTTGATGCTTTTAAAATAAATGACTATCAATTACCTTATTTTGGTTGGACCATATTGTAAATCATTTCGGTGTTGTTCATGCTTTTCACCCATAAAATTTCAATATCATTAAACTTGCAAGTTTGAATATAAGCCATAGTCTGCAAGTATTATTTCACAGTCATTTCTCTGCTGTGGTTTCCGTTTCTTTAGTGGTTTTATTAACTAATTTGAAATATTGATGTTCTTCCAATAAGCTATTTGATTTGAAGATATTGAAACAAGCAAAAAAGTCCTTTTTATACTTCTGATTTCTAATTAGAAATTGACATTGCTATAAATCTATGTCTTAATTTAATTAATACAAAAAATAAATTATACAAGGTTATTAACTAAAACTGAGCTTTTTATTGCTAATATTCCAGGTATGCCATTGACAACTCTATGTGAAAACCCAAATGTAAGATATGTTTGGAGCATCACACAAAGTTTAGAATGTAATATATAATGATTACATGACTCCATTTAAATTTCACACTGCTTTCTTTTTTTCAGTTGACCGAATATAAAGTCATTGGGCGTATGTTGCCCACTGATAAGAACAGGACCCCTGCTCTTTACCAGATGAGAATCTTTGCCCCAGACAAATGCACTGCCAAGTCTAGGTTCTGGTACTTTGTCACCCAGCTTAGGAAAATGAAAAGAACTCAGGGAGAAATTCTTTGTTGTCAGAAGGTATGCAATCGAACAAAAATAAAGTAATAATGTGCATTTTATGATATCAGAAAAAGTCTAAAGCAGGAACAGCTCATAAGTTTATGTCTTTGATATGGAATAAGTTGCCCTATTTGGGTTTCTGAGGTCACATTGCCCACAAATATCTCCTAAATTTGTTTTGTTTCTTCCAAAAACCAAAGAGTTTAACAATAAAGACTCTTTGCAAGTCAAGGGTTATAATTTAGTCCTGAAGGTAACCAGGCTGGCCACAATAATTTCCATTGTATAGTGTTAATGGTACACCTTTCTTTTACCAGATCTATGAGAAGAAGCCAGAGAAGATCAAGAACATTGGTATTTGGCTGCGTTATGTGTCTCGTAGTGGCAACCACAACATGTACAGGGAATACAGGGACCTGACAGCTGCAGGAGCCGTCACTCAGTGTTGTAAGTCATTTCTGAAAAGTGCTTGGACACTTTGCCTTGGTGGCCTGTAAAATTGGAAGAAATGTCTGGTGGGGTATTGAAATTTGAGAAACTGTAGAATTCATTATATTCCAATCGAAAGGTGATTTCCTTTGCTGATACTGCAGTGATGAAGACTTAGGACACCTATGATTTCACATGATTTCAATCCTAAGCGTTACCTTGACTGAGCAGTTTGTCAAGCATTGTAGAAATGTTAATCAAAATCTTGAGAACCAGTTGAAATGTTGAATCAAATGGCAGTGATGATATATCGCCATTGAAAAAGATTTGAAATGAATAAAACTGATTTAGATTTAGGAGTTAGAATGTAAGAAATACTCGTTCTGTTAATATAAGCCTTATTGTTCAAGAGTCATTATAAAAACCCCTTGACAATTTTTGATTCCAGAATCGGGTCTTGTTGTTTTTACCCCAATCATGTATTCGTTACTGGATATGTGTGATTGAAAATGTGTTAATGTGGCTTGAATCAGGCCTGTTTAGTGATCTCTTGAGGTTATGAAACTGGTTATTTTGTGGCAATACGAAGAAGCTGTGGTTTTGGGCTGGTAATTTTGTGGCAATACCAAGAAGGTGTTTAATTGGTATGAGGATTAATATGGTTTGAAAACCTAGCAATATGATTGAATTTCTTATATGTACTAAGCAATAAGCACATCCTTTTCCAGGTTAGAACCAATTTCTATCGTTGGCAGATAATGTGCAAAATCAATATCAACCTGTCGCCTTTCTTGTCCATTCATGACAAAGGAAGTGAATCATGGATGTAACAGTCACATTTCATATTTCTGAGTTTAGTTATCACTTTTTCTTTAACCTTAACTTTTACATTAAGAATGTGATTAATATTATACCCTTATCTGGTTTTTATATATATAAATAAAAAAGTTTTTGTTACCCATGCATCTGTCATTTTCATGAAATTGATACACTTTCATAAAATTGAAAATGTTTTTATAGTTATGTTGCAACAACTTGTTCCCAATGGATGTAACTGAAAATGATCAGTTATTACATATAAAAGGTCTATCTATACATGTTAATATCTGGGTTTTAAGGTTGATATTAATTACTAGTTGGAGTCATATGGATTGGAATCGGTCAGTCTTTGTAACATGTTGAGCCGGAGTGGTAAAGTGTATAGAATCGGTCAATCTTTGTAATGTGTGAATGCACACAATGCAACTGCACATCCTTTTCCAGGCTAGAACAAGTTTCTAGCTTTGGTAGATACTGTGCGATATTAATATCAACCTGTCGCCTTTCTTGTCTTTTTATGACAAAGGAAGTGAATCATGGATGAAACAAGTTTTAGGACTTAAAAAAAAAAACATGCTTTTGCAACCTGATATTTTTATCTTGGTAACCAGGGCCTCTATACAAATCATTCAAATAACAAAATAACACAAATGGCAGTTAGAAGATGTCA